CTCCTCCTCCTCCTCCTCCTCCTCCCTGTGCCAATGCTGCTCCAGACTCCTCTGGGGGAATCGGCTGGGGACGCACGGGGCGCCACGAACGGTGTGGTTTTGCCACGCCTGACAGTGTAGAGCCCTTGCAACTCCCTTTCTGCATGGGCATGCTGCGTTGCGCAGCGGGTGAATGGGACACAGCAACCACCCTGACCACGGTTCTGATGGTCGCCTCATCCTGAAATATGGGTTCTAGGTGCCCTCAAAGACTATTGCGTACCTGGCAATCTTCCTCCTCCTCCTCCTCCCTCCTCCCTCCTCCTCCTCCTCCTCCTCCTCCTCCTCCTCCTCCTCCTCCTCCTCCTCCTCCTCCTCCTCCTCCTCCTCCTCCTCCTCCCAAGCCGGACTGAGCGGGATTGCGCGCTGAAGCAAGCGGGATTCGGAGTTCGGACCAGGGCAGAACCAGAATTTGACTTCCAAAACTTGCATCCGAGGGTACAGTTAGGTCGGGCATGTTCCCCTACAGGCGGATCTTGGGCGAAAAACTTAAGAGAGACAAAACATACTCAACACATACTCGAAAAACAAATAATATAAAATCGTCCCCAGACTATGATTTGACTGTTTCTGAGCATTCTTTCTGTAGAAGGAACGTAGAGGCCTCCTAGATGAGGTCGGAAAAAATGGGGTCGGAGGATCGCGTCGCATCGCCGATACATCGGCGATGCATCGGCGATGCATCGTCGACGTGGGCGACGCATCGGCGACGTCGACGTCAAGCAAATCGGGCCCCACATCGAGCCGCATCGCCGATGCATCGTCGATACGGCACGATCCTCCGACCCCTTCTGCCCCGACCCCATCGAGGAGGCCTAGAGACATGCCCGCCTTAGTATAGGTGGCAACCTCCGAGACAGGAGAGGGAGAGAGGAGAGGGAGAGAGGAGAAGTAGAGGAGAGGGAGAGAGGAGAGGGAGGGAGGAAAAGTAGGGGAGGGGGGGGGGTCCGGCTCCAAATCCTCACCCCCCCCCCCTCCAAGCGACCACAGAACGCGCTCTTTCTGGGGAAAACAAAAAATATCGATACCGCTACTCCCCGGACCTCTCCCAGGGTGCGTTCTGACCAGAATTTCGATGCGAACCCAGCGGTGGCGACGAGGGCCGCCCAGGAGGCCAAAAAAGGGGTAGAGGTATGGGTACCTGTTCCTCCTCTGACTTTCCGACCTGAGTATGGGTGGCACCTTTGTGGGCCCCGGAAACGGCAGGGCCGTTTTCTCACCGTTTCCCCAAAAATGTCCCTTGAAAATGGAAACGGCAAAAAAACGGCGACCGGAAACAGCAACAAAAACGGCTCCAGGATTGGAGCCAGAACCGGAACCGATCAAAAAACGGCGACGGGACCAGTGAAAAAAACTGCGTCGGAACCAGCAACCAAAACGGCAGAACGGAACGGGTAACAAAACGGCCCTGTCGTTTCCAGGGCCCACTAAGTGGCAGCCTCCGAGACAATAACCAGCCTCGAACGTATCCCTATCCCTAAGATTGACACGCCGAAAGGGGGTGACAATCTTAGGGAGTCGCCCCCCAAAAAGAAGGGGATCCCTAAGATTGGCATCGTGATGAGGAGGTGCCCAGCCTGGGGATATCCCTGGAGGTCCCGACCCCTTCCCAGGGACCGGTGTTTCTTGCGGAGTCGTTCTTTGACGGCCCCGAGGCCCAGCGAGGGCTCCCCGAGGCCGAACACTGGCCAAAAAACCTCCCGTCCTGCTTCTTGTCACGACGCGCTCGTGTCTCACCCCCCAGGAGGAGGAGGAGGAGGAGGAGGAGGAGGAGGAGGAGGAGGAGGAGGAGGAGGAATGGGAATGGGAATGGGGTCAATGACAAAGTCATAAAATAAAAAGTTAGAGTTTCGACAGACGCTTGGGCCGCAGGCCCCTATGAAACCTGTCTAAAAACTCACGTCGCGCGTTGGAAATCTTCTTGGGATCACAAGGTTTGGCGAGCTCGCGAAGAACGAGCTGCCCGAAAAACCCGCATTCCCCACAGATCCAAACTCCAGACTGCTGAGAAAATATCATGCAATGAGACTCGTGCACGAGGCCCCCCCCCACATGGACCCTCGACCCCTGCGGTGGTCTCCAAGTACCGTCCCCAGTCGCTTCAAGTTCAAAACACGGGCTGGCCATCCAAGCGGTCCTGGCGGCTGCCGTGGAAGAACCTCGACACCTAAGACATCGAGTGCCAGTTTCGTCGAAAACATGTGCCGACGAGAACATGGCCACAACGGCTGGGGCGGGAGGAGCAGGGGGGGGCACGGCAGCAGCAGCAGCAGGAGGGCGCTCAGACTGATTTTCAATCCTGCGGACTCTGACAGAAGCATCCATCTCAGCCAACGTGGATCTCAACAATCGCCTTCGCACCACCCTCGCCATCTGCTCCGAAAACAGCAAACGTGCACGATCTTGCTCTGACACTCTCGCAACCTGCGCAGCAACCCTAGCAATCTCATCGGCGGCCTCGAGGAGGAGGAGGAGGAGGAGGAGGAGGAGGAGGAGGAGGAGGAGGAGGAGGAGGAGGATAGGGTTATGTTCCAGGCTGGTAACACTGAGTGGCAGCCTCCGCGACGAGGACGAGGCATCCGCCGCCGGCCCTCCCGAGGGGGGCCGCGCCCGAGGCGGACCAACGACGGCCAGCGACGGCCGCCCCCTCACGGGGCCGCGGGGCCGAGGCCCACCGCCGAGGCCTGGGCACGGGCCGAACTTTTCGAGACCTGGAGGGCGCGGCCGACGACAGGGAGCCATGTTTGATGGGCCTGTTTGTCACCACCGCCACACTCAGTTGGAGGGGGAGGGGGTCCTCCTCCTCCTCCTCCTCCTCCTCCTCATCCTCCTCCCCCTCCGCCTCCTCCCCCTCCTCCCCCTCCTCCTCGGGCTCCTCCCCCTCCTCCTCCTCCTCGGGCTCCTCCCCCTCCTCCTCCTCGTCCTCCTCCTCCTCGTCCTTCCACCTCGTTCACCCCTCCGACCTATGGTTGTGGTGGTGGAAAACAGGCCCCTCAATGTTGCATCTTCGGGGGCCCCTCATCGCTGCCCCCGGTTCGCGTGCAGTGCGCACCGAATCCACGGAAAGGACCCGTATCCACGTGGACTCCGCGCCAGGCCCACGCCGAATCCGGATCCAAGCCCGCACCGGGGCACGAGACCAGACCGCCGGCGTGCAGGACGGAGCCTTCCCCCCGAAGGTGAACGCTTTCTTATTCGGCGTTTCGGCATTGGGTGGAAGGGGGGGGAACGGGGGGGGAAGGGGGGGGTATGGCTCTAGACTTCTGCTTAATGCGACTGTTTTGGGGACACTCCAACTGCTCGAAGCAGGCGCCAAAGACAGCAGCGAAGGTCTACTCCATGGGGGGGGAGGGGGAGTGCGGGGGCCAGCGCCGGTCAGCAAAACAACGAATATGAATACGATCACAAAACTGCGTAAACAACAACTTTTGGCGCTACGCGCGGATGTCTTGGGCGGAGCCCGCCAGGGGCGGCGCCGGAGGCGCCGCAAGGGAGGCCCAGAGGCCGATCCAAGAAATCCGCGCGGAGCGCCAACAAATTGTGTTTATGGCGATTGTTTTAGGAGACGTAGACTTGGGCAGGGACCGACCGTCCCGGCATTCCTATAGGCCTACCACGACATGTTCGTGGAACCCAAAAATGCTCTAAGAACAGAAGCCCGATGTGCTGAAACAAAACAGCCTCAGCAGGAAACGTTCTAAGAACATGTCGTGCAGACCACGGGAGGTTCTTAGAACAGTCTTTGGTGGGCCTGTACGCGAGCCCAGACGCTTCGCCACTGCTTGATTCTTCTTCTTTCGGCGGTGGATAAACCTCCGTTTAGTAAACCTCCCTTTAGTGAAAACGGCCTGGGACCGAAACCGACGGACCTGGACCCGCAAAAATAACGGCCGCGACGCCTCTCGCGAACCGAAAACGGCCAATTCCTTAATCGACGTGTCAGGGTAGGAAGACTGTCCACCCCCGATTCTTCTTCGAGACGGAGACTGAGCTGGCGGAAGTCCTGCTCGCCCGCCCCCGCCCAGCTGGGCCCCTCCGCCTGCGCCGCGTGCGTGCGTCCGGGCGCGGCTGCCGCCGCGGCTGCGGCCCGGCTGGTCTGCGACATGAGGGCGGGCGGGCCGTACAGCTTCTGACCGAAGAGCATCGGGCCGCCGGGCTCCTGGTCCTTGCCGCCCTTGCCGCCCTTGCCTCGGGGCCCACTCGAACCCACCTCCTCGTAGCCCACTCGAACTCACCTCCTCGTAAAGTGTGAGAAAGATTTTCGCTAC